ATGTTCAACCTGTATATACATATGATGGAATATTATTAAGGCTTAAAAAGGAATGAAATTCTGATACATGTTGTAACACAGAAGAATCTTGAGGACGTAATGCTAAGTGAAATAAGCCAATCACAAAAAGATAAATACTGTATGATTCCACTTATATGGATTACCTAAAGAAGTCAAACTCATAGAGACAGAAAGTAGAATGGTAGTTGCCAGGGGCTGGAAGGAGAGGAGAATGGGGAGTTACTGTTTAATGAGTACAGAATTTTATTTTGGGAAGATGAAAAAGTTCTGGAGATGAGTAATGGTGATGGTGGTAAAACAATGTGAATGTACTTACGGCACTGAACTGTATAATTTAAAACAGTTAACATGGTAAATTTTATGTTATATATATTTTACCACAATTTAAAAAAGCAAATTGAACACAGCTGAGGAAAGAATTAGTGTACTGAAATGACACCACTGAGGCATTCTATCCAAATACAACTAAAAAAGATACGGAAAATATGAAAGTGGGCTTAAAAGACACAAGGGTAAAATAAGGTCTAACATAGATCTGATAAGAGTTCCACTTGGAGAGAATAACAAGGATAGGAGAGAGGCAATATTTAAAATAATAATAAGTGAGAATTATGCAGAAATGAAGGCAGATATAAACGTTCAGACTGAAGAGTCCTAAGCAAGATAAACAGAAAAACAAATACGCATGAAGACACATTATAATGAACCCACAGGACGCCAGAGACAAGGAAAAGATCTGAATAAAAACTAGAGGGAAAAAAAAACAAAAAAAATTATAATTTAACTGATAGCAGATGGAAAAACAGCAGTCAACCTATAATTATATATCCAGCTAAATTATTATTCAAGAGTAAGGTGACTGGGCACAGTGGCGCATGTCTTTTGTCCCAGCTACTCAGGTGGCTGAGGTGGGAGTGTGACTTGAGCTCAGGAGTTCAAGGCTGTAGTGCTCCATGATCACGCCTCTCTATGATCATGCCTGTGAATAGCCACTGTACTCCAGTCTGGGCAACATAGTGAGAATCCATCTCAAAAAACAGAAAAGAGTAAGGTACAATCAAGACATTTTCAAACATATGCACATAGTCACAAACTGTCATTGAAAATATTGAAAAACTTACTTCAGTAAAAAGGAGACTAAACCTAAATATTTATCAATAAATAAAAAGAATTATATTCCAACTTAACAGCAGTTAAGATAAATGAAGTAAGTAAATCTCAAATCCTACTACTAAATGAAAGGAACAATAAGCAAAAACA